CTTTTTATCTCATTTCCCCTCCCTCCCTTCTCCTTCCCTCTCTTGTTCCCCTTCCTATTTGAAAAAGATCTCCCTTTCTTTCCTTCTGCTCTATTTATACTTTGAGTTTCTCATATAGGAGAAAGCATAGGATAGTTTAACTTATATGTCTGATTTATTTTTACTTAACCACTTACCAATCCAATTATTTAAATACAGGATAGCCAAAAATTGCATATTTTTCATTAATTTTTATAAAGTAATATAACAGAAAATATTAAAAAAATAATTTTATCAAATTTGTTCATAATTTTTCTGGGTGTGGTGCATCTTAAAACCTTCAATATACAAAGCAACCTTATCATCTAGAGGATAGTATCTGATCTCTTTCCTAATTCCATTTGCATTCCTGCCTTTCTTTGAACAACACACTTGACACTGTCATATTGGCCTTTCCCTTTTCTACCATAGGTGGTATGATTTCAATAAAATGTCTACCCACTAAATATAATGGTGAAGATGTCAGTGATGGATGTCCTGGTTGCCATTTCACTATCCTATATTTTTCAATTAATTGGTCTGTTAGACCTAATTTAAATTGTAAGTGACTTTTTTAATCCCCTTGTTTTGAATAAATAACAAACAGATTCCATACTGTTGGGCCCAAAAAGTGCATAAATATTTTATAATAACATCTTTCCTCACTTTTTGATTACAGGATAGCTTGTTAGATGTTGGTCAACTCTATCATCACCACCCATAGAATTATTATAATCATTAACCACTACTGGAATTTTTTAGTTCTTTTGCAAACAGGAATGGACAGTTGAAATGCCACCAGCCTGGTCGACACTTGGGATAGTCAGTACATAGGCAAACGCACTGCCTGAGTGACACTCCAGGTAAACTGTAATAAGTGGTTAACATTATTGTCTCCAGGTACATCCATTTATCTATGAAGCCCTCAAGCTTGTCCTTCTTTATGGCTCAGCAGTACTTCTTTGTAGATTAAAAAATACCACATTTTTTAAATCCATTCATCTGTTGTTGGTCATATAGACTGCTTCCAAGATTTAGTTATTATAAATTGTGCTGCCATAAATATGGGTATGCAAGTATCACTGTAACTTAATAGCTTTAACTCTGAGGAAATTTCATAAGGGAAATAGCTGGGTTGAATGGGATTTCTAATTTTAGTTTTTGAGGAATCTCCATAGTGATCTCCCTAATGATTGTACTAGTTTACCTTCCTACCACCACTGTAGAAGGGTTGCTTTTTCCCCTCAGCTTCACCAGTATTTGTTATTATTTAATTTTTTGATGATAGCTATTCATTCTGGAGTAAGATGGTTCCTCAGTGATGTCTTAATTTGCATTTCTTTAATAGCCAGCAATGTTGAACATTTTTTATATATTTATTAGTCATCTGTACTTGTTCTGAGACTATCTGTTCATTTAAGTTGCCCATTTTTTGGTTGGGTCTTTTACTTATGGTTTTTGTGGTGGTGGTTGTTATTGTCATCATCATCACTGTCATCATTGTTGTATATTCTAGCTGTCAGTTCTCTGTGCAGGGAATAGCAGGCAAAAATCTTTCCCATTCTGTAGGTTGTCTCTTCACTCTGTTGGTTGTTTCTTTTTCTGTATAGAAGCTTTTTAATTTGATACGATCCCATTTTTTTATTCTTATTATTTCTTGTACCACTGGGGTTCTGCTTAAAAGTCCTTGCTCTTGTCTATGTGTCCAAGAGTTTTGCCTTTTTTTATTTTCCAGCAGATGAAGTGTTTCTGCTTCAACATTTAAAGCTTTCCTCCATCGTAGTACACGATGACATATACAGGTCTAAACTCAATCTTTGCCAGGCATGGTGGCGCATGCCTGTAATCCCAGCACTCGGGAGGCTGAGGCAGGAGGATCACTGTGAGTTCGAGGCCCACCCGGGCTTACAAAGTGAGTTCAAGGCCAGCCTGAGCTCCATAGTGAAACCCTGTCTCAAAAAGGCAAAAAATAAATAAGTAAATAAACTCAATCTTCTATATTTAGATATCAAATTTTCCCAGCACCATTCATAAGGAGGCTCTTTTTCCTCCAGTGTGCTTTTGGCCCCTTTGTCAAAGATCAGATACATAGCTGAGTGTGCCTGAGGTTTTCTCTGCTTCTTCCATTCTGTTCCATTGATATACATGTCTGTTTTTCTGCCAGTACTGTGCTTTTTTTTGTTCATTGTAGCTGTGTAATATAACTTCAGATCTGAGATTGTGATGCCTCTTGCTTTGCTATTGTTGTCCACAATTTATTTGCTGTTCTGGGTCTCTTCTGGTTACATATGAATTTTGGGGCTGTTTTCTCTAAATCTGTGTGGAATGCTGTTGGAATTTGATTGGGATTGTGTTAAATCTATGTATCAGTTTTGGAGGTATAGCCATTTTGACCAGGTTGATCCTGCCTGCCCAGGAACACGGGCTACTTTTCCATTTTCTTATGTCTTCTTCAATCTCCTTTTCAGAGTGATATAATTTTCACTGCAGAGATGTTCACCTCCTTGATTGCATTAATTCCTAAGTATTCTTCTTGATGCAACTGTGAATGGTATTATTTTCCTAATTTTTTTCTCTTGCAAGTTCATTATTAGTGTGTAGGAGTGTTGTGTGTTGATTTTGTATCCCGCTACATTGCTGATTTGATTAGTAATTGTACTAGTCTTTCAGTGGAATTTTTTGGGTCTTATAAGTAGAGGATCATGTCATCTGCAAATAAAAATACTTTGACTTCTTCTTTTCTTAAACATGTCCCTTTTATTTCTTTCTCTTGCCTAATTGTTCTGACTGATGTTTCAAGGATTATGTTGGACAGAAGTGGTGATCATGGACACCCTTTTCTTTTTACTGATTTTGCTGGGAAAGCTTTCAGGGTTTCCCTATTTAATATAATGTTGGCAATAGGTTTGTTATAAATGGCTTTTATCAGATTGAGATAAGGTCCTTTATACCTATTTCGCTGTGTTCATGGGATAAAGCCTACTTGGTAATGATGTACACAGTCCTTTTGATGATTTCCTGAATTCTATTTATGGCTCTTTATTTTTAAATGTCTTAAAGTTTTATGATTTTCTCCATAAACATCTCACATATCTTTAGTGAGATCTATATCTAAGTATCTTTTTAATTACTATAAATGATAGCTGTTAAATTTCTTTAACTGCTATTGATGTATAGAAATCAATATGTTTTTTTGTATAATGTCTTATATTCAGCAACCTTGCAAAACTCTCTAATAATTTGTATATAGATTCTTAGAAGTTAAACAACTATATCACTGGAAAATAATCATACAATAATAATTTTTCTACTTTCTCTCTAAATTTGTATTTTTCATTTATTTTTCTTATCTTGTTATTCTTTTTTTTTTTTACTGTATTACTTTTAAACTTTATTAATGTCTTAAGTTTGTGCATCATTTACATTGAGACGTTTTTGAAAAGCATTCTTATACATAAACAGGCCAAAGAACAGTTAAGTAAATCATCCCTAAAACATGCATGTCAATATTATTCAAGTATGTGTAAGAAAGGGAAATAAATATTAAGCCTTTTTCCTTTGGAATAAAAATATTTGGACATTATTGTTTAAGATGCCAAATATTTTCCTAAAACAACTGTATTTTTCCAATAGGAAATGTTGATATAATTAAAATGCATTGGTATTGATAAACACAACTGGGAAAACATTTGGGTTGTGCATGATCAGCAAGGAAAATCTCAGTTGGCCTAAGGTTCATGTCAAATTTGAATCAAGTAGCATCAATTACATGGTTTAGTTGAAAGAACACATAGCATAAGCCAGATTATAGGACACACATATGGTAAAGGCACATGATGAAGCTAAACAGGTGGCTAGATTCTATGGATTAATTTGTTCTTTCATTGGGAGAGGAAGAAAATGTTCACTTAATTGCACTTATTGATAAATAAATGCAATTATTCTAGGGCAGCAAATGTCTTTCTTTCACATACACAACTACTAGATAAGCTGAAGCGGCACGATTATGGTCCAATTTTCCTGCACTGCAGTAACACTGATGTTAAACTCTTCTATACTGTTTCTACACATTCTCTCAGATTCATGAAAACTTCACAATTAGGTAAAGAATTTATTAAACAATAAAAGATGCTCAAACTATTTTTCCACAGGAGTCAAATCCAAACTCTGGAGTTGACTGCTGACTATACTCAGTTTGGGCTTTTCCCACAATGGAAAAAAATTCCCACACAATCTCCTTTTGTACAGCTAAAATGTTAGCAGATCCACTGTGGGTCCCTCCTTTTTCTTTGGTGATTCAGAGGTGTTTGCCTCCCAATCGCTCCATTACACATTCTTTAACAATACAAATGCTCTAAATATCCGCAGAACAAGAAGGAATGCACTAAAAACCTCCATCTTCAACAATATTTGAACCATCACCTTCTCAAATCATTTCATAAGGAAACAAAATATCAAGTATCCACTGTATTATCAATGATCAGCACACTAAAGTTTACACCCAAAAAGTGAATACTAGGAGGCAAAGGATGATACTGTGTGCTTCTAATAGGCTAGCAAAATATTCCCCATCAGATTGAAATACAAAGTTTTAGTACTTTACCTGTTTGGGCTCCTGGAAATAAGCAGCACCAACAATTTAATTACAATTCCCAAAATAACAATATTCTCCATTTAAATAGTTTTGAAGCACCTAAAACTTCAATAACAAAAGACAATAAGATGAGATATCAGCAATTCTTTCTGTCCCTTCAATACTTCTTGTGCATATACAAAGATTCTATATAGTTTTAGTAGGCAGCTTTTAAGACTAATGATTTCCAACTTGGCAACAGCTTTGTGCAACTGAACCCAAAAATGTTTCTCAAAATAGATAATACTAGTTAACCAACCAACCAACCAAATAAAAAAAAGCCATTTCAAGGCTACTTCTACAATAAATGGTTCAATCTGAAGTTCAGTGGAATAAACTGGCTGACAGAAACAAAGAAAAATCTGGAAGGCATAGAACAAGATTGAAACAAGACAAAGTGAAAAAAAGGGTTGAAGAGACAGGCAGACAATTTTCTGAGTAGTGAAAGGCTTGAGTCACATGGATTGTTTCTAATTCCTTTGTCTCTTATATTCTTGGTTAATGAAAACTTTTTCGTTCCTATTTCTTTACACAGCTTGGCCATGTAAATCCACCACAGAGAGATGATACAATGATATAGATGAACACCTGTAAAAAGAAAGAAGACAATTTTGTTTTCTTAGGTTTATCATATGTTCCTAAACAATATACACAATATAAAAATATGTATTATATAAATGAAAAAAAGATATATATATATATGAAAATAAGGCCCTATTAAAGAAACACTTCAACACTTCTGCTTCCATTAGAGTAGTAGTTCAGTATTAATATAACAAACTAATCAAGTATTTTCAAAGTCAGAAGTACAATTAAAGTTATCCTGATATAATTCTCATCTACTTGAATTCCACTATGATTTCTTGCATTGAGGAGAAAATAATGGGGCTGTTGATCATTATGAATAACCAAGTATAATCAAAGCTACATGAGCAACTCTTACTGATGCATCATTAACATATCATAAAAATTTCAATAACCACAATTTACTTGAAGTGTGATTTTACTACTAACTACATTTTTAATTTTTACATGTACTTTTGATTTTCCATTATTACAATGATAAGAATACATGAAGAGACTCTACACCTATAGAAACTATGAGCAGGAATGTTGCTGTGCAATGTTCATTAAAAAAAGACACACAGTAATTATGATTACAGAACCAAAGAAAAGCTGATGATGGGTCAGTACAAAAATGCTAGTTCTAGTGTAGGTTTATTAGCTTTTTAAAAATTTCTAGTAGTATTATTTTAAATTACGATAATTTAAAAATAATGTCTACTTTGTTACATTCAAAATGTAGATTTATTTTATTCAGTAGGTTCAGTACATTAAGTTGGCCATCTTGTTTTACAACCGCTTGAGATCTTTAACTGACTGACTTTGTTATTCAAAGAAAATGCACTTAGGAATTACACGTCTCATGCCATAAAAATGAGCAGGGCATTAATGCTGTTGTGGAGTGGGTGTTTATTAATGAATAGTTTAAACTACCCACATTACATGCACACAAACGCACATACATATTCCACAACTGTAAAGTTTACTAACTTTATATAAAGTACAATATTTTAGGCCAGGGATTTAGCTCAGGGGAGAAGCACCTGCTTGGCAAGTGTGAGGTCCTGAGTTCGATTCCTGATACTATCCCAAATAAAATAAAGTAGAATATTTGCTATCTCTATAAGCATTTGTCAGGCTGAGGTGTCAACACTTCTTAGCAAAGATCAATATTACATTTAGGGCAGTATTTTACATGTAGTATATAATCAATAAATATAATCTGAACCTAACAATTCAGCTGCATAAATCAATCTAAAATTACAGACTAGAGATTAAGGAAGACACTAAGGTTAGGAACTTAGAATGTGTCACCTGAGGACCCTGAGCGAGGAAAGAGAGACCACTGCGGTCACCTCTTTTCTCTTAGGTAGGTCCAACTACCTAAGGTACAGAACCCTCAACGAGAGGTACAGGAGAAGTAAAAGTATTGCTTAGAAATAATTTTGGGCTTCTGCAAATGACTGAAAGATGGGGAGGAAAGGCAGTTTTTCCCAGACACGAAATAATCCAGGTCAAACCCTGACACCTTTAGCAGCAGTTCTCATATTTTGGATTCAGGATCTCTTTTACTTTGTTTTTGGTCTTGTGCTAATGATCAGACCCAGGGCTTCACACACGCTATGCAAGTGCTCCACCACTGTGCCAAATCCCCCAGTCCCTCTTTACATGAAAATCACTGAGGACTCCAAATGATTCTTTTTTAGGGGAATCATAAAGAGCAACATTTATCATATTAGATATTAATATTTAAAAATATATGATTTAAACGATAACAAAACTCCTTACATATAAACAGAACTACTATTTGTATTATAAATAACTATCTTAGCCAGGCATAGTGGTATGTGCCTATGGTACCAGCACTTGGGAGGTTAAAGCAGGAAGATCACTTGAGCCCAGGAATTTGACATAAGCCTGACCAACACAGCAAGAACTCAACTGCAAAAAACATAATAACTACTGTATAGCCATATTTCTGTGAGTTTAAAATATATAAGAATTTTCAACCAGAAATAAAGGTTTTAAGTAGAGATGATATTTTATAATAACTTCACCATGGAATAGGAAAGCCACCTTCTGGCCTTGAGTTTCAGATGGAGCTCATTTCAGACTGATAATCACTGAGAAAGAATCCCAGTATCTAATTTCTTAGAAACTGAGAAATAAAATCAGATACTAAAAGAACAAAAACTAAACTCACAATTGATACGATGATGATGATGATGGTGAGCTTGATATTCTTCATACACATGGCTCGGGCAAGATTTCTGCTGGTTGTTTTGAAGGTGACAGACTAGAAAAAAAGTGTAATTATTTAATTCTTGGTACTGAAGGCATGGATGATTTGCAGTAACACCCCCAAAAACACTTACTTTCATTAATTCTGTTATGTCCCAATTTCTGCTATGTCCCAATGTCCCTTACACCTCCCTTCTCTTTATAAGTTGAGACTGGCCATTCATAATCCCTAGTTCCTCAGAGCAGGATTCTTCCAGGTCTACCATATGAGCCCATTAGAAAGGCTTGTCTTTTATCACTGTAGCATGTACATGGTGTTAGGCACCAGAAGTGGCTCTTCCCATTAGTGAAAGTATTTTCCTCTTTATGTTTCTAGTAAGAAAGGTTCCTGCAAAACCAGCTGGATGCAAATGTATTACTCAGTTCTGCCCAGTACAATCTAGGGACTTTAGCCGGGCGTGGTAGTGCACGCCTGTAATCCAAGTACTCGGGAGGCTGAGGCAAGAGGACTGTTGTGAGTTGGAGACCAGCCTGGGCTACAAAGTGAGCTCACGGCCAGCCTGAGCTGCATAGCAAGACCCTGTCTCAAAAAGACAAAAAAAAAAAATCTTGGGACTTTGAGCCATAAAATATGTTTGATGTTCACAGGAAGATACATATTTTACTTGTATAAGGGCCCAAACCCATAGAACTCCATTCCTTCAGTTATCCATTTTCTTTTGCATCATCAGTTTCTCAGTATGTCATGAATCATTCTCACCATTATACAAGCAGTTTAAAATAAATAGGCAAACAAACAGCAAACTCTCTAAGTACCATGCAATTCAGTTCCTAGGTATACCCAACAGAGATGTATGTACAAGTTCACCAAGAGCTGTATGCAAAATTATTTCCAATGGCATTACTTTTCATACCTCAAACTAGAAACCACTCAAGTGCTCATCAACCATACAGTGCAAAAATATAGTTGTTACATAATAGAATACTACACAAAGAAATTTAGAATCTACAACTGCATATCTATAATTAACAATCTACACATCATGGATGAATCTCATAAACCAATTTTGAGATAAAAAAACCCCGTAATATAAATAAATACTATTATTTATTAATCCTTTGGAAAAAGTTAGGATAGATGTCATCCTTAGAGGGGAGTAGTGACTACAAGAGAGCAGAAGGGAGCTTCTGGGGTGCTAGTCATCCTCTAATTCTTAATCTGGATTTGGTCCCACAAGTATGCTACTTTGTGAAAATACAAGTTAGACACTTTTCTATATGTGTGTTACATTTCAGTAAATTGTCTTCTTAAAAATCAACTGTCTTGACCATACATTCATTTTCGTCCATCTTCTCCATAAAGTTTCTATAATACATTAAGTGACAGGGGCACTACCCCTTGGTTTTCACTTAATGCAAAATGTACAGAACACCATTAGGAAGCACAGACCCAACCACAAAATGGTATATACCACATACCAAACTGATTACATCTAGCTTTAAATATATACACTGAATGGAATATATGCATTGACTCAGACAAATTAAAAGATCCTATATAGGAAACAAACCTAAGTAATTAGAGCAAATGACCCTTAATGGAATAAAGTTAATAAAGGAGAGAATGATAGTAGTAAAACTTCTAATAAGCATTTCACATATAAAATGTCATTATGCTGATTTAAAATAAGTTAGGAATATGAAAAGGGAAAAATCAGATATGATACTCCAAAATATACATTTTCATAAATTGGCATAATTGAAAAAACATATACAGCAGAAAGTTTATAGCTAAAAACAGCTTCTGTGGGAACAATTTGTAAAAAATTCTCTTTGACAACATATCAAAATACAGAGGATATGAGTTATGAAAGAAGATGTAAGATACACAGGACACTGTTCAAGCAAATCTAGGATCCATGTACCCATTCAACCAATATTGAACAAGTGCTTACTATGTTTCTGGTACTGATTTAGGCACCTGTTAGTATTACAGAGGGAGAGAATACAGCCAAAAGAGAAATATCAACAATTAAGGAACAAGTAGAAGAAAATATCCCCAAACCAGGTATGACTTGAACATTTCAGTTGAAAGAACAGAGCCAGCACACACAGAGAGTACTGAAAGAAGACACATACTTCCTTCCCGTCTCCCTGGAACATTTCAGAATTCAAACCTTTAATGTGTTTTATTATTTTCTGCTTCAAAATATCAACAGTAAGTAAAAATTATACTATACATGTGTGTATATATTCAAGGTGTACAATGTGATATTTTAATATATGTATATATGGGGAACTTATTACTACAATCAAGCTAAGCAAAATATCCACTACTATCACAGTTTAGATCTAAAATGTCCCTCCAGAAGTATCATATTCAGAGGTGGAGCTTTTGGCAGGAGACTGGATCCTAAGGGTGCTATACTCATTGGTGGGTTAATCTACTGATGAGTCCATAGCTGAATGTACTGTTACGGGCTGGGGTCTAGTTGGAGGAGATAGGGGCATGCCTTTGGAGGGTATATTTCTTACATTCATTCTGTCTCCCCTGCCACCCCCCTACCCCATTCCCTCTTCCTGACTGTGACAGGCTGAACAGCTGTTCTCTGACATACCCTGTTACCATGATGTTTCCAAAACCATGAGCCAAAATAAACCTCTCTTGCTTTAAATTCTGTATGTCAAGCATTTTGTTCCAGTAATGAAACTCTAATACAATCACCTCAAAATTACTTTCTATACATGTAGTGAGAATCCTTAAATCTACTCTCATAGCACATTTCAAGTATTTCATACATTATTACTAACTATAGTCAACATATTATACATTAGGTCTGTGAATTTACTCATCTTATAACACCAACTCTGTACACTCTGACCAGTGTTTGCCCGTTTTCCCCCACCTCCTTGTCTCTGGCATTTGGTGTACTATGCTCTGCTTCTATGCATTCAGCTTTCCAACATTCTACATGTGAGATCATGCAGAATTTTTCTTTCTGTGTATTGCATGTTTCACTTAGTATAATGTTCTCTAGGTTTATCCATGTTGCTGCAAATGACAGGATCTTCTTCAAAGTTGACCAGTACACTAGTGTGTGTGTGTGTGTGTGTGTGTGTGTCTGTGAGAGAGAGAGAGACAGAGAGAGAGAGAGAGAGAGAGAGTGCAATCCTTTATTCATACACTGACAAATGTTTAGACTATTTCCATGTATTAGCTATTATAAATCATGTTGCAGGGAACACGAGAGCAAAAATATCTCTTGCAGTAATGCTTTCATGTCCTTTGGATATAATGCATTCTGAGAAAGGATTGATGGATTATAAGGTGGTTCTAGTTTTAACTTTGTGAAGACATTCCATTCTGTTTTTCAGAGTGGCTGCATCAATACACATTCCCACCAACAGTGCACAAAGGTTTCTTTTTCTCTATATTCTCTCCAACACTTGTTCTCTCGGCTCTTTAATAATAGCCATCCTCTATGGTGCGAGGCAGTATCTCACTGTGGTTTGTATTTGCATTTGTCTGCTTTTTAGTGATATTGAGCACCTTTTAATATACCCATTAGCCAAAAGTATGTCTTCTTTAGAGAAATACCTTTAATAAATCCTTTGCCCACTTTGTTTTTTTCTTTTGCTATTGAGTGTATGAGCTCTTTACACACTTTAAACACTAATCCCTTATCAGGTATACATGGCTTACAAATATTTTATCCCAATGTGTATGTTCTTTTTTCATTTTTGTTTATTCTTTCCTCCACTATTACAGGGTTTTTGACACAATTTTTTGGACTGTTCAACTTTATTTTTTTATCAGTACACATCTATGGGACATAATGATTACATTCATTGTGGGGAGTTGGTCTTTCAACATGTCTTGTTGTCTGAGTTTTTGGTACCATAACCAAAAAAAAATAAAAATCCTGACCCCCACCAAAAAAACACTACTGTCCAGAAGCATTTTTTCCTGTATTTTCTAGGAGTTTTATGCTTTGGGGTATTATGTTTAAGTCTTTAATCCACTTTAGTTGATTGTTGTGTACCGTAAGATGAGGGTCCAATTTCATTGTTTTGCATGTGGATATCCAGTTTTTCTCAGTTCCGTTTATTGAACGGACTATCCTTTCCTACTGTACTTTTTTGCATTCCTGTCAATATTAATTGACCCTATATGCAAGTATGAATACATATATATCATATATATACCCACACACACATATTATTGTATAATTTGTTTGGTACTGCTGCTCTGTCTTTTTATGCCAGAAACTATTAAATGTGATCCTGAAACTCCTTCAAAATTCTAAGGTCAGTATTTGAATACTGATAAAAAACTTTTTAAAAATCAGTTTGGCTATAAAAAATGTTACAACTTATTAAACTTCCCTTAGGGATGCGAGTGGGGGTAGGTGGAAGAAAACATATATAAATCACTGTTAGAATGACAAAAGAAGCCTGAACAGCCTGACAGACATTCTATATAATTTCATTAGCAGCTGTCAGGAGCTTTGGGGACCTGCAAATCTCATACCTGTATATTAAACTAATTTGTGGCTCTAAAGACAGAGCCACAAATTTACATCCTAATCTCTATGAATGTGACATTATTTGCACAAAGGGGCTTTACAGATGTGATTATGTCAGGAATCGTCAGATAAGGAGTTTCCTGGATTACTCAGGTGGGCCCTAAATGCTGCCACAAATGTCCATCTAGAATGAAGGTAGAAAGGGATTTTACACACGCAATTTCAACTTGGAGGCCCTTTTTTTCTCTGGCCTAATTCCTAGGCTAGGATTTCTTTTGGCAGTGTTTTGAAGTTGTTAGTATACAAGTTCTTTAAGTTTATTCCTAAATATTTTACAGAATAGGCTCTCTATTCTGTTCCACTGGTCTGTTTATGTTTTTATGCAAATGCCATGCTTTTTAAATTACTACAGCTATGTACTATGTTTTGAAGTCAGGTAGGTAATGGCTCCTGCTTTGTTCTTTTTGCTCAAGGTCACTAAGGCTGCTTAGGGCTTTTCTAGTTCCATATGAATTTTAGAATCAATTTT